ACCAGTTGTAGGTCACTGAGACATGTGGAATCAGTAGAATCCAACATTGCTATGGTCCCCAAACTCTCCCAGCCTATTAATTCATACACTTCCCAACTACACGGACTCCGCTTTTGCTGTGGCGCTTTTCGCCTATCGCCCAACAAATAGGACTTGCCCACCACAAGCGGGGTCACAGCAACCAAGTGCGAACATCTCCACGGCTTAGGTGCAGGGCTGAACCCCAACGAGATCGAAGTGGCCGTCTGTGCTCTTCGTTGGCTTGCTGTGTCGGCTCTGAGGCTCCGATTCGCTCGCAGTGAGTTGTTCCACCTTAACAGACCGTTTACGCCTTAAGCATCTTAAGTGCTCCGACTTCGACCTGTTCCATCCTCCCAAACGTCCGAGCATCATAGATCCAAAAAGTGCCGCACTGTCGACCTGGTCAGCGCTTCGTCAACTGGACCGCGACCGGGTCCGCGGAGACGTGGACGCCTCCCGGTCCCTCCGGAACCATCAGTCGTACCGAACCTGAGAAGGTGGGACTGGGGTGGGTGCGATGGTCGGGTCCAGTCGTACCTTTTGAGGTACTTGGATCCCTATAGGGATTCGGGTCCGGAACTGTTCGGGTCCGGACCCCCTCCGGATTCGGGTCGAACGCGGAGGGTCCATGGTGGCGCGGTCGCCACTGGAGGATGCATTTTGCGGAAGTTGACCGGTCACCGACGGGTTTTCCGAATGATGGACACATGTGTTGGAATAATCCCCTCTCCCTAATAATAAACGGGGCCTCCCCCCCCCCCTATTAATAAAAACCCAAACTAGGGATTTACGTTTATTAATAGGAACTAGGGATTATCGAATCCAAAACAAACCCATGCATGGAATAATTAGTTGCCTCACATGGAAGTGGAAAACCGCGGATGGCTCCACCACCTATTTGTAGAAAAAAGGTAGAGTCTGACCTGTTCCACTTTCCAATTTCAGGGAATGCAGCCTTCTGTTCAGTCAACCTTCCGGAGCAGATCCTCCGGAGGACATCTTCCGAAACGAAACCCAAAATGGATCCATCAATGACCGCCACAAAAATCAACATCTCATTATACATTCCCATGCAAGTTGTTGACATGTCGTAGATGAGCTTCGCAACTCATGAGTGCAGCAACCTACAAACCGTTCATCCTCGAGCCACTCCTCGATCCCACCTCGCCTCGCAACCTCCATCCGCCCTCGCTCCGCCCTCGCTCTGCCCTTGCTGCACCCCACCCGCTGCCACTCTCGGTCCGCGCGCGTCCGAGGCCTTTGTTGTCCATACAATTGGCACTCTGCCCTTTGATCGCTGTGACGGCCGTCGCCTGTGGCTCACCAGGAAGTACGGATTGAGTGGATGGCACCAGGAAGTACCAAGTTAGGTGGTGGTTTATAGATCCAGAGAGGTTTACTTAAGACAGTGGTGCGAAATGCATCAACCTTTGTAGTGTGTTCTTCCACGTATTTTTATGTTCCAACATTTTCTATATTTTGTCAGTTTTGGATAGAATTCACAGTGGAAATTGAAATTCAGAACTGCGCTATTCTTTCCGAGGGTTCGTCCCGCATCTGAATGTGTACTTGAAGTGGAGGTTCGTGCGGGTACTTGGTGGATGGTTTTGGGATATGGAACTTATATATAAGCTATACAGCAATTACACAAAATAGAAAGCTTGTAAGTTCCCTGAGAAACTTTCAATCTGAGAAATTGAAATGTAACGCTAAATTGTATGCGTTATTTTGTGAGAAGCCTATATAATAAGTCTTTAAAACACAAATTAGCTTGGAAAGCGTTAGTTGTTTGAAGGTGGTTGTTCAGTTTGCTAGTTTTGTGTGTAGGTGTTCAATTTACCTTATTTTTTGTTGTTTTTGGTTTAATTACATGTTTTTGGGATGTATTTGTGTGTCAGCGCAGCTGGTGTCTTTAGCAAAAAGCGCACTCCTATACACGTGGGCGGCTCATGGAGCTGCCAAAGTCTTGTAAACACAGACTGCAAACAATATAATGTTTCTTTCAAGTGTTCTGTCATATAAGGGGGCTACTCATGAAGCCGCCAAACTCTTCTGTGGATACAAAAACAGCCAACGGCTTGTTCCAAAGTGCTCTGTTAAATAAGAGGGAGGCTCATGGAGCCGCCCATCTCACTTTGTTCAGTTCATGTAGTCTATGTATTCAATATTTTTACTGGTTTTGTCTTGGTCGTATTTCCTTCAATTCAATGGATGTGCAACAAACAGCCCAAGAAGAACAAAAACGGAAAAAAAGAACAAGTAGTGGGCGTGTTTTTGAACACAGCTGGAGCTCAGGTGAAAGAAAAGGAATACTTTGTGATAGTATGAAATGTAGCTCAATGTAGCACGATATATCTAAAACACAATCTAGAGTTATGACATGTATAACTCGGACATGTTTCAAGCTATACATTCCTTTACGTTTTGATACATGTTGCTATGTTGCTACATGGTTTCTTCTCGTGTGTTGTCGCATGTGATGAACCGGCCGGATGCGGATGCGGCCGCCGCACTGGGACAAAGGACTTGTACGCTGTTGGTGCGGCCTCAGACTTAAGCCGCCTTTACCTTGAATCTCATGTGACTAGGCTTAGCCCATTGTTTCAGTTTTTCATTCACATGTTTCTACTGTATATCATGTGCATTTGTATTGAGGCTTATGAGTTTGGGCAGTTTAGACACAAAGCACGTGAACCGACACGCCAGCCATGGCCCATGGCATCTGCTGAAATACAAACCCATCAACCACATGTTTCAACCTATAGTATATGGAATGTGCTTCAACAAACCATTCATTAGTATTAATGCAGGCTGACTGACTAACACAAAAGTTATACCTTCAATCTAGTGGTCAGCGCGCCGCCATCTCCAACACTACGTGTTTCCTGCATCTCTGTTTTAGATTCAAACAAGAAAGTGAAAGCTCTCTTATTGTTCTTCGTGTGAAAACGACGAAGACAGTCGAAGACAGTTGTGCTTCGACAAAAGTCTATACTTAAAAGTTTCAAAACGTGAAGAAGTTAACTTTTCCAAGTTTGCTGTATGTTTTCTAAGGTTAAATTATTGAACAACTAGTATATAACTTATACAACTTACTAATTCACAAGAAAAAGAGAACCTATAAATACTTGTAAGAAACAATAAGTTCACCTACAACACTTAGTCTTGCTATTATTCTTATAATGAGTTGTTTTTGCCTGTCAACACCGAGGTTATAACATAAGCTTCAACAACTTAAAAGTTCCACAAACGGCGTAAGTAAGGCGCCTTCAAACTATCATGCTCTTGTGCCGAGCATTTGCATCTGCATCATGCCCACAAATTCCGATGTTCGGCTTTTTCAGGTGCTCCAACATGTCTCAACCTGTTTCATGAAAAGAGAGGAACGAAATGGAACCCAAAGTTGGGCAGTTTCAAGTTCTCAAAGCATGTTCTCAAAAAAGAGACTTGAAAAAGATCCACCGGAGTGGTTCTTTGATGGATCTTGATCCACTTTGCATCAGAAAAGATCTTGAGACAAAAAATGGTTCCCAAACCCAAACACTCCATGGGACTGTCATATATATGTCTACATTAGGGTGGTTTCCCAGGGGGTCTGTCTGGGGTGGCAGTCTTGCAGTCCCAGATGGCGGTCGTGTCTAGGAAAGCATGTTCATCGGAAAGCATGTTCATCCACTTTGAGAACATACTGACAAGAGACCTTTGAGAACAGACCTTTGAGAAGAGACCTTTGAGACCCCGGACCCTTCCTCCACCGGTCCCGTCGACACTCCCAGCCGTGTCCGGGAAAGCAGGGTCGGTCGTCCAGGCAGCACACCACACCTGCGACGCAGCCGGGAATTCCCGGATGGTCCGTTGGAGGGTTTGATATGAGATACGAGTAGAGCTGGGTTTGAGGACCCATGGATATACAGCTGCGTCCTTTTTGGGGTTGCATGCTTTCAAAGTGCCCTTTCAAAGTGCCCTGAACATGGACCAGGGTCTCCAACAAGAGCCAAATTTGAATGAACATGTATAGATGATGATCGGGTTTTGAGGAACCTAGCGAAAGCAAACTTGAAGGAAGCATTTTGTGCTAGTGAAGCAAAGCACGCCCGACCATGAAACATGACCTAATTAAATACACAGGTATTGTACCCTGGTTCCAAAATGATTTGAGACTCCATGTAATAAAATAATCATAGACTGTGAGTATATTTCAACTCCCTAGTCCAGAATGGTGGAAATAACTCCCTTTCTTCAGCGCCTCTCTTAGGCAAAAAATGGTCATTGATTCATTGATGCTCATTGAGGAATTTGATTGGTTGTCAAAACCATCATGGAGTTTGTTGTAGCAAAAGAAAGGCTCCATTAAACCAAAAAGAACATGAACGATAGACCTAGATTCCACAGATTCATCAAAAGAAAGCACTCGCTTCACACATACCATAACCTCCTGGCAAATATCTTTCAGTCCATCTGGACGCGCCAGCCAAGATCGCTGTTGCATATTAGCATATCCGTAAACAATCGATCGGCAGACATTGCCACGCCGATATCAATGGACAAAGCTGCAATGAACCGAAGCACTGCTGCTGTCCTACTGCTGTCCAGGCCTCTCATCAGCACATGCCACCTACAATGAGGGTGGTAGAAATAGCATTTGGTAAACAAAACAGCTGAACACCACACCAATCTGGCATCCAACCAATCTTAGTTGCATTTGCTTGGTGGCTCTTGAGCAGGTCAGGAGTATGGATGCCATCATGGACCATAGTGTCATGCAGCTCTACCACAATGTCATCCCATTCCAGCCGTAAAAAATCGCACTGATGAGACACTCATAGACTCATAGACTTAACAAACTCATGAGACACTGAAATACACACATCTTTGTTTCACAACAATACACAATTCACTGCTGAGACCGAACAAAAGCCTTCAACCGTAGGAAACTCTTTCCCATGGGATGATATTTCCCTTCTCGGGTGCGTTGGCGCTCAGAGAAAGCCGAAGTTCACAGCACATCCAATGCCTCAGAGATATCTAAAAACAACAACTCATTCATAATTATGTTTATTGTGTTTTTATTGTTTTTATTGTTTGTGAGAGGAAAAGACCATAACAAAACACCTTCTCTTTGGACTCCACCATCTGTTTGGGTCATCATCGGGTTGTCCCCTCGGGTCCTCCAGGACCTCGACGTTGTCGAGTCCAACCCCTGCCACAAAAAGAGGTGTCAGGCCTGGAGACGGATTCGCACCCAACACCTTGCGACAGCCCTGGAGAGGTGAAGAAGCAGACTTGGAACGTGAAGAACTTCCCAGTGACCGAACTTGAGATCCGAGAATGAGGTCACGAAACGGCCTTGAAAAGGTCACCTTCCAATCCTGACGAGGTCACTGGGAAGGTCCTGGTAGAAGCAAAGCAAAATGTCCGTGTCTCATCTGAAGTGCAAAGAATGCCAAGTAACTCCATCTGAACACAACAAGTATCCTGAGATAAACCTGTGTGGCACAGATGCATACGCTATAAAAAGTGTGCATTCTGCCCACATCTCTTCGTCAAAATGGTTGACTCTCCGTATACCGAATCACGCAAAATGCGAATTGCTTAATGATTTGTCCCTTCATCGGATCAAGGACTCTGTCCAATGCGAGTCCAAGCCAGGTTCTGTCCTCTCCTCTCGAGTCATCCACCCATCCACCAACCCATCGAGAGCAACGTCTTCAGTGTCCAGGGTTTGGACGATGACTGCGTCTGGATGGCATCCAAGTGAATTGGATAGAAACATATGGCTGTGGGTCAAAACCTAGAGTGTGAAGCTCCATCCGTGCTGGATGATGTACGCTTTCTATGTATGCTGAACAGTGTTGCATGAAATCAGTACGTTGATAAGTACTCCATCAGAGTTCGACTCTATGGAATCCCATATGTAAAGGCCCAGAGATTTGGAAGCCAAGCTGTAGCATTTAGGCTATTTTTGGCAGTGCTTTCAATGGTTTTTAGTAGAGCTGATCAATTTCAATCAGCTTGGGAATGGACGGATCATCCAATGTATATCACAGATCCACAAGTCCATCAACCGAAGACCCGACACCAGAAACCAGGTCAATCGGGTATGCACTTCGTTACTTTGGCTCAAGGCTCAAGTGGAAAAAGAGCGCGAGCGAGATTTGTTGCTCTTCATGGTAGCGAAGCCTATGGTTCGTTGGTACCTGCCGTAGAAGCTTTGACTAACAAATTGAAGGTAAATGAATTGCCATCACAAGGTAGTCCTAGCTATGGGCCGGTGCAGTCACCTCCAGCACCAATGGTTCCAACACCTAGTGGTTTAGATATGCCTGGACCAGCAATGTTCGCCCCAATGCCGGAAAGCGGAACATTTGCTTCGTTTGATCCTTTGCAACAGAATGATCCATGGCAGAATGCCCAGAGGGCTTCTTCTCCCGAAAGGAATCCTTTTGCTAATGCAAGTTCGAGCAACCCTCATATTCCTCCACCAGGGTTCCAGCAATCACCAAAAGCAATGCAGGCGCCGTTGAGGTTTTTCGTGGAAACGAGGATCGAAATCCGTTTCGACGTTCTGAGAAATGGATGCCTGCTTATCCAGTTCCACCACATGACAAGTGGACCACCCGACCGGAGGAAGTAGAAGGGTTCATTAGCTACATACAAGACCTTGCATCTTGGGCCGGATTAGGAGACAATGAATGGCCGAGAGAAATTCTTTGGTCACTTCGTAGCCCAACAGTCATTACATGGAATCAGATGACCGCAGCTCAGATTACCAGATCCACTCGTTTGCTTTCGATCTTGAAACAGTGCTTTTCAGGACATGCTAGAGCAAATTTGATTTTGGGAAATTATGAGTCATCACAAAACCGTGTGAACTGTTGTGGATTTGAAGGTGTTCGTTTGCTGTCACGAGAGTTTGGCATCAAGACCCGAACAGAGCTTTTGTTCTTTAGGAACCGAATCACCAGTGGGGTTTTCAAGTGTGCCACCATCCCTGAGACCGTTCGACAGATCCAACATGAACTTTTCAAGTTTGCCCGGATTCAGCAATTGGTTGATCCTAGCGTGAACAATGCACAGCTGGACATCATGGAGCCCGATCAGATTTTGATTCTTCTTCGTTCGTTGCCTGATGCTTGTCGACAATGGCTTGTTCTCAATGTCGTGCAAGAGTCATTCCAAGCCTACACCGAGGCAGCACTCAGGTACGAGTCACAGCAGAGAGCCTGGTCAGAGTTGAATCATAAGCCAATTGCACAATGGAAAGACAAAGGAAAGGGCAAAGGTGGAAAAGGGAGTGAGGACGAAAAGAACCAGGGAAAAGGTAAAGGTGAAGACAAACAACAGGATAGCCCGCACAAGGATACCCAGGGTTGTTTCAAGTGTGGTAGCACCAAGCATTTTGCACGAGATTGCCCACACAAATACGATCAGTACTACCAGTACAAGGACAAGAAAGGTTCGGGTAAGAGCCCAGAGAAAGGTAAAACTAACAGCAAGAGCAGCAAAGGTAAAGAGACCAAGGGCAAGGATAGTAAGGGGAAAGGAAAAGGAAAATCCAAGAGTAAGAAAGGACAACGAGCAGCAGAGTTCTCTGAATCGTCGGACTATTGGTCAGACTATGATGAAGGCTGGGATGAGAGCTGGAAAGATGATGATCAATGGTCAGAGATCAGTGACGGAGGACGTCTTGCTTCGTTTGTTGGGGTCGTGACCTACCACGAGCAGAACGCAGGGCACAAGCCATGTTCGTTAGGAACTTCGCAAACGCAGAAGTGTGAAAGAGTTGACGCTGATCGTGTGAATGGTAAATCCTTGGTTCGATGGTTGACATGTGCATTGGTATTCGCAGTTCTCAACATGACATGTTTGGTCTTGAGTTTTTACATCCATCAACCACCGATTCACCGATCAAAGGATTGCAATTTCGAACACACAGTTTGCTTTGTTTCATCCGAGGGTTCGTTGCAGTGCACAGGGGTTGAAACCAGTGACGGTTATTTGACCTTGAGGGAATTCATGGAAGGTTACCATCCAACAGATCCAGGTCAAGCAATGGAGCCAGAACCTTTCGTGCAGTTCGAAGCCAATAGAACCCCGAGAAGAGATGCAGCATCGCTCAGCCCAATTCAGGTTGCAGATCAGCCGAGCGACAACAGCCAGCAGATCACCCGAATCCGAGCTGGCCAAGCACCAACCGCTGAACCAACCGATCCGTCAAGATCGAAGCAACTTGTGGGGCAGGGAGCGTGTTTGGTAAGTAGAAGAAAACCAAAGACTGATATGAATATGAGCTATAGTGCTAGAAATGTTGGACACAATTCTTTTGGTGCAGAGTACCATGAGTTTGAAAATGAAGCTATAGAGCCAGAAGAACTTGTGTTTAAGAGCATGCAAACGATTTTGAATGAGCAAAAACAGTCACAAAGTCGTTGGTCAGCTGCGTGTGAAACAGTAGGTAGGCGAGCTTCTCATGTCTCAAACATTTCGCCCGCAATGACATGGTTGATGCAGTGGTTTGATGAGTGTATCAATTTTGATCTTGTGGAATCCAAACGTCAGCTGTCCGATAGATGTCGTAAACCGAGCTCGTTAGAAGAATCATGTTCGTATGCCAATTCATGTCGCATGGACACAAAGAGGTGGTGTAGAGTTCAAGACGGTACATACTCGAAACAACACCGCACATATACTTGCCTGTCGACACAGAGTAGCACGTCCATGTGTACTGGTGTGCCATGTGTGACATGCCCCAAGAACAAAAGATCCAAATGCCGGAGTTGGACTAGATCCAAAGTCAGATCGATGCAAGTGGATGAAGAGCGTGAGCGAGTACAGATGCTCTTCATGCCACGATATTCAATTCATCCGCCTGCTGCCCGCTCTCAGGAAATATGGAACTGTGGGTCGGTGGTTCGTTCTAGACCGACCAGTTGCCGAGCCCTGGTCTGCAAGTCACTCTTGCCATGTCAATGGCATGAGCTGGAATGGACGGATCATCCTGTGTGTATCACAAGATCCACAGATCCATTTACCAGAAGACCGACACCAGAAACCAGAGGTCGATCGGGTATGCAGCGAGTAGGATCCCACCAAGCTACCCAGCTTGCCCTCTCCGTATGTAACCTCCCGAGATCCCTGGATGTGAAGCTCCATCCGTGCTTGATGTACTCTTCGGTGTATGCTGAAGAGTGTTGCAGGGAATCAGTACAGCATAAGTACTCTGCCAGAGCTGAGCTCGATGGAATCTCCATATGTAAAGGCCAGAGAACCAAAGGCCGAGCTGTAGCATTTGAGCTATTTTGGCAGTGCTTTCGATGCTGTACGGCTGATGACTTTTGGTTCAACACTCAGTCACAAGCTAAGGTGAGCCATCTCGAAAACGTTGATGGGGTAAGATGCCAGCAGAAGATTGAGCCTGAACATAGAGGGATCATGTGGGAAACACCGAATACATCACATGAGAAAACCTCCCATCCAAATATGCATGTGGTTAGGGGAAGACACATCAAACCAGAAATCAGTAGATTTGGTGAGAAGACTGCTTGCAGAATCCAAAATGAAGAAGTAGGTAACCTTCAGATGCATGATAACTGCATGGGAAGAAATCCTTTCACTGAGGGTTCAGGAATCGTGGTAGGAGTTGTTCACCAAGGGTCGTCAGAACGGGTGTCAGAAAGCCTGATAATAAATCGATGCCTCTTGATCCAGAGCCTTGAGAGAGTAACGAGACGATGCATTCGTGCAGGTAAGTTCGGTTCAAAGTTCAGGAGTCAAGAGACCATAATGGATTTGTGCATGCAGTTCGCACTATGTTTAGAGATGTGTCAGCCACAGGATGCCAGCATGTTTGATTATAGGTATGTGAGACGAAGATTGAATTGCTTGTGTATTCATGAGCAACGATGGGTTGAAGCATTCGTCGCAGCACAAAAGATGTTGATGCAAGATGTGTTAGGAAGTCATTTGATTGGTTGTGTGGTGAAAAGGTCTGGATTCGAGATCTTGAAGTGTCACAAGTCATGGTACTCGTATGCCTTTTTCGCCTCAGGTAAAACCATCAACATGACACCTGAAGTTTGTCCTGACAGTCCCTACTACTGGGAAGATCTTGGACACGTTGTTCGTGCGTGGACATTGAGGCCAGCCCAAGGGAGACAGAATGGTCGTGAAGAGATCGATCAATTGGTCGCATGCTTGTTCGTTGAAAGGCATGTGAGGTTGATTTGGCACGATGGCAGTGTCATTTCGAAAAGGGAACTAAGTGTGGTCATGTCAAGCCGATCAGTCAAAAAGGTCCTGACAGGTTGTTCAGGTTTGAAGGTACAGAAGCAGGTGATTAGTCGATGTAGAGCCTGTAACATGCAAAGAAGCAGGTTGTTCGACAGAGGAATGATCGCTTGCAAGCAGTGGTGTGGTCAGTTTGACATTGACGAGAAGGCAATTGGGAGTTGCCGAGAAATGAGCAGATTGGTTGGTAACGAAGGACAACCAAAGTACAGCAGATTGGTTGGTAACATAGGACAACCAAAGCATAGGCAAGTTGCACTAAGTTTGCAAGTTGAATGTACAGTTTGTGTGAATCTTGAAGATGTCGAGGTTCAGGTACAGGACAGGTCAGCCAGTTGTGGTTGTCTGTTGTGTCGCATGAGATGCGATGTGATCCAAGGGATCGTGATAGGTCGTCATAAGCAGATGTGCTGTTGTGCATTTCCAGAGAGAGAGTATCATAGGTATGCACATGAGAAGACGATGTTGTTGCCTCTAGGAGGTGTAACCACAAGGTGGTTGTTGCACATGCAGACGAAGTTGCATAGGTGCGTTGAGTTGCCTCTAGGAGGTGTGACCATGAGATGGTTGTTGCGCGCGGTCTTTGAACCCGGGGTTCAAGAGACGTTGATGTCATGTGACGAAATGTGTAGACCGCATAGGATGCGAGTCGTGTTGGCCAGACAGGTGGACTCCTGTGAGGATGTGGTGAAGTTCGAGAGGAACCGCATGGTCGAGCCAAGGTATGGCCACGTTGAGAAGGCTACCTGGCAGTCGATGTTGTCCGGATGGGACGTGAAGGGGGTTGTGTCAGTCATCCATTTGGGTTATGGTACACATGTGATATCAGGTATCTTCACTGAGATCCAGATGGTTTTTGGAAGTGTGATGATGAAGTTGATTTTTGTTGGTGATTTGAGGGTGCCAACATCACATGTGTGTCAAAGGGCCCATTACCGGATGCAGCGACTTACCCGACAGTCACTATATGCCCAGTTCGACAGTGCAGATCTTGAAAGAGACCCAATGCAGTTGGAGAAGGTGTTCAGGGACTTGAGTGCCAAAGTTCTCCGACCGACTCATGTCGAACGATATCTTTCTCCATTCATTGTCCAGTTGAGGCAGTTGATAAATCGAGAGAATAGCTTTCGTTGGCATGTGAGTTGTCAGTGTTTCAAGCTTGGGGTGATCAAGATGGAAGTCGGTTCGAGGAACACCACGAGGGCCAAGGAAAATCCAATTGGTATGAGTGACGTCGCGGCAGAGAAGGTTCGAACCAGAGATTTGTGAGCATGCAGGAAGTGTCGACATGTACAGAACAGATTCAGCAGAATCACAATTTTCCAGAGGACAATCTTTGATAGTCACCACCATGTCAGCCAAGGTGAGTCAGAAGTTGTCATGATTTTGAGTACTCATGTGTTTCAAACGGATGTTTCACGAAGTTCGATCGAATATATGTCACTTGAGAATTACCAGATGCATGATAAGCCAGATTTCCATTTTGCATAGTTCGATTTCAATTAAATTGAAAGTTCGATTAAAATTGTATTTCACCCATTGGTAGCCATGTCAAAGCGATCTCAATCTAAAGGAGATGAGCCTATTGGGAGTCGGAACACTGCAAGGAGAGTGTCTCATGATCCACCAGGGTCATCGCCAGACAACCGACAGAAGATGCTACCAAGACCAATCGGTGTTAGAACTATACAGCGGAATCCATATGTGTTTGAAGAGGATGCCGCCGTAGCCGATGCTTTGTTAGAGCAAGAAGGTCCAAGGGGGTCAACAACGGAAGTTTCCACTGGAGTATCCAACACAGCTGAACAGAGCAGTGTTCAAGGAAGGCCAGATGTATCCGAAGCAGCAAGTGCCTCGAGTTCGATTCGGAGGCTGAAAGCCACTTCGTTTGAGCCTGCACCTAAGAATGAGAGAACCCGGCTGGTTGGAGATTGGAATGGGTTCATTCATTTTGAGCATTGCACTAATTTGCTTCAGCAAGATGTGATTACTGGATTTCAATGCTGTGATTGCGTTGATTTTTCTGAAGTGATCCATGGTATGGAACTCCACGGTGATTGGCCTCCAAAAGGATCCAAGTCATCGAGACTGGCACACGCGAATGGAGTGTGTCAGTACATGCAGTCGCTTTCGATGGAACATTTTCTTTGTTGCCCCAACTGCATGGTGAAGAAGAGAAAGATGTGGTTGGGATGAATTTGAGTGTTTCAAGTTTTCTTTTGCTGAGATCCACAGTATCCCGGTCCTAGTTCCTTGATTGATTGCAGAATTGCAGATTCGATCGTTGGAATGCAGATTTAGATGTTCCGATGAGTTGTGGAAAGTTCTTTGCATGCAAACCATTCAGCATGGGGGGGTGTATGATGTACGCTTTCTATGTATGCTGAACAGTGTTGCATGAAATCAGTACGTTGATAAGTACTCCATCAGAGTTCGACTCTATGGAATCCCATATGTAAAGGCCCAGAGATTTGGAAGCCAAGCTGTAGCATTTAGGCTATTTTTGGCAGTGCTTTCAATGGTTTTTAGTAGAGCTGATCAATTTCAATCAGCTTGGGAATGGACGGATCATCCAATGTATATCACAGATCCACAAGTCCATCAACCGAAGACCCGACACCAGAAACCAGGTCAATCGGGTATGCACTTCGTTACTTTGGCTCAAGGCTCAAGTGGAAAAAGAGCGCGAGCGAGTATAGTTGCTCTTCATAGAGCCCCAAATCCTCATGGGTTGGCATCCCTTATATATACATATAGAGGAATCTGTTCATTTTCAGCGGTCAACCCGGGTTACGGGTTTTGATCCACTGCCATATAAAGAAACCTGTCATGAAATCAAAGTGCGCCTGCGGACCTGTCATGACATTGGGTGAAACAATAGAAACGGCATTGGTTGCTGTGAACAGCTGACCTTTGCAATCGAAGCACGCATGTTCTCCAAAGGAACATGGTGGGAACTTCATGTCTCTAAAAAGCGGGCTGAGACTGGGAGGTTGCATCGATATTATCTTCATGGAACCGGGAAACAAAAAACATCTTCCCCAGACAAAGACAAATCTGATAAGTAAGACGAGATTATATATAGTTGCGTGTCAATTGCAATATCCAAAATCCACATGTCCCGGGATGTCAAGCTGTCACCATTTGATTGGACGGTTGTGGCACATTTTTGGAAGGGAAGCACACCTCGTCACGGTAAAAAAGAACCCTCGACGCAATTCCACCCTTCTCCAAGTGGCCCATGAAGCTCACACCCAGCACGATGAGCGCTTGGAAGGCACGCCGCGCACGAGGCGCCCGGCCGAAGGGCAGCTTCAAAGCCATGATGGGACCGGCCAGAAAAACGAGGAAAGCTGCCAAAAGGGCACCCTCCACCGCCTCACCAGCTGCAAGGACTGCGGGTTTTGTCTTCATACCAAAGAGTTCCTCACTGCATACCTTGGGTTTTTCTATGTGTTTTTGCATGCCTTTCTCAAGAAAATGAAAGAGCACTGTTCAAACATCCATCAAAAGCTTGTTCATGCTGTTTCTTCGAAGGCAGTTTCAACAGACCTCCGGTCCCACCGCCCCACCCGCCGTGGGATCGCGCATCGCTCCGCCTGCACCAGCCCCAAATCCCGGAAGAAGCACGCGACCGCCACGGCCACTGCCAGCAATGCGCCAGTGACCAGGCGATGCTTGACCTGCTTGCTTGAGTAGTGAATGAAGCGAACCCACATGAAACATGGATCCCCCAAATACTCCAAAACCCTTGGGTTCATGGACCACAAAACTTAAAATGTTTGGTATTTCATGGTATTCTCTTAAGTCTTCCGAAATGAGCCTCTGGTAACGATAGGAGAGTGATGGAGACTGATGTTCTTTCAGCAGCTTGTGTCTTCTTGAGTTAGGTGCTTCATATTCAGCCGCATCTGTCTAAGACATCTTGGGGGTGTCATCGAACTCCTGAAACCACGGTATTCACAAGAATGGAGGTCGACTTAGTGAGCTGAATATAAACTTGGGGATCTTCTATATACCTCGCAATGGCGACCTTCACCCTTCATCCTTCCCTTTTCCAAAAAAAAGAAGGGGTTGAATTCGAGTCACTCGGTGCTTCTGACACCAAGTTCTTTTGAGGAACATATGTTCACCATCCCTGAATTGTTCACCTAATTAATGTAGACAGATTTATAAACTGCCCCCACTGCTGCCCTCCGATTGGATTGGACATCCTCTTGCCATGTGGGGTTTATTAATCAACAGTCTATAGAGGATACTACTAAGGATTGGTAGGGTTGGACCCACCCAAATCCCCTCCAACACTGCTTGAGGTCTACCAATCTCTCCCGAGAAGTCACCGTCACCGGTCACCCAGGCTCCCTCTCACGCTGAGACGGACCGTGGGTAGGCGGTCAATGTGGCCCAGCTCCAGCAAGCCATCGCGGAAGCCTGGCAGGCTACCGTCCGTCGGGTTGTGCGTCGGAGTCCAGGCTTGGAGAGTGGTTCGTTACGCAAAAAAGAACGCGCTGGGTCCAGGGAGTCCATATTGGTCCATGTAGGCCCTACTACCTCCTATAGGTCTATGCGTTTCATCTGTGCTGCATATCATTCTTTCTCACTTTGGACAAAAGGAACTTGGCAAATGACAGTGGGAGACAGCTTGACTGCAACTCTCCATGAAAGATTCCATAGTGAGTAGTGAAGCTTCGAAGCAGGGATCACCACTCAACTGTGATCAGTGGTAGGAAGAGCCTGCTATCAGGAACCTTTAGGCCACAGGGCACCAAAATATGTATAATTAGACAAAGGTCAGTTTCAGTTTCGGCCAACTGAGAAAGGAAAACACAAACATAGAACTCACGGGTCAATATGTTGTCGATTCCTTCCTGCACTACTTGCACTAAGGTTAGTTAAACCCACAGATTCAGGATCAAGGTGAGTTTGATTCATTGGGAACCCACTTTGTGTAAAGTAAATCCTACCTAGCGCTTCCAATGGGTGTCCTAACCTATAAGCAGTGTGGGGTTGTCCATTCGTAACCCGTTGTCCATTCGTAACCCCTTGGAAGCAGCTGGTAGAGTCCTAGAACCCTTGTGACTTCTTTCCACATCTGGGAGAAAAAAGGATGGAATTGGCCGCCGCTCCAAAGCAGGTGTCCGTCAGGTTCGATCTTTCGATGAAAAAACTGGCAGCTGGGAGTTCCAGCCTCAAGGACATGAGAATATTGTTCGACCAATCATCCCCTTCAAACCCCGAAAATCCTCATCAGAAACCACCCAAACCATCCCCACGAATTCAGGATAAAAACCGTCTCCCACGAATTGGGCGGACCGATCTCCATCCGCGGACCGGGTGGAATCGGCCTCTCCTTCTGCACGCGCCGTGTCTCACGCCGGCGTCTTCTGGCGCCTGCGAACTGCATGGGGTACCCGAAGAGCATGGAGACGCCCACCGCCAAGCGTGCCACCGTCGCCCAAGGGTCCGCCGCATCGTAGTTCAGGAGCACATTCCTCGGCGTTCCAAGCACTTCGGGCGCCAGCTGCTGTGGCTGTTTGGAGATGGCTGATATGAAGATGGCATCGTATTGGTATCTAGTATATATCATTTGCAAGGGAACATAATGATAGTATAAGCACAATTCATGACCCAAAGAAAAGAAGACCTCTGCACAAATAATCTCAGTCATCTACATCCACTCAGGGAGGATGTCTGTGTCAACAGCAGAACTCCACACCCTATGAATCCCAATACGTGCTCTTGCCAAGACTCCTTTGCCCTAGGGATCCAAGTACCTTTTGGTGAGGACGGAGACTGTTTATGTAGGCGCCTGGGTCGGGCCCAGTCGTACCGAACCTGAGAAGTGGATCCCTAGGGTGGAAACCTGGTCCCACATCCAAAACGCGCCGATCTTCGCAGCCCCAGGGTCCCGCTGACGGCCTGGCCGAAGGTCAAGAAGCCAAAGCACATTACCAGGGCATATTGGAGAGAAGCAATCCCAAAGCCGATCAGCGACACCTGGAGGCGCTTAGCAGGCTTAGCTAGCCAGCAGTTCTATGACATGTCGGAGTGCTCAAAGATCGTTGGAGGATAGGCCTAGGGGCTGTCCGCCGGGCTTGCCCATGATCCGCTCACTTAGGGCTAACCCGAAAAAAAAAAACACCTTACTCGGAAAACACGAGTCCAGTCTAGGCTCCAAGAGGAAGGGACTCCACGCCAAAACAATCTGCATCCAAAGTGCCCCAAAGCTCCCAAAACCACTGTTATTCATGGAAGCCACGGGCAGAACTGTATCCATGGTCTTGAGAGCCACTTGTTAAAGCAACAAACACCTCCTCCTAAACACATGTCTTCGACTCGAAGCGTTTTCAGAGTCGTCTTTGTGTTGTTTTTTTTTGTGAAGTCGCCTCAGCCGTGTCTGTTCATTTGAAGACAACAAGCCCCTTCTGGACAACCACACCTTGACCCATGGTGTTTCCCGAAACTGAACAAAGACGAAAAACCAGGGAGGTCACGCCCACCATGGCTTTGGGTTCGGTTCCATGGCTTTCCCAGGTTACATCAGCTCAGTCCCATCGATCCGTCGGCTCGACCTGACTCCGATCGCGACCCCATTTGGCGCCCCTCGATCGGAAGGCACTGGTCTTTCTCCTCCGACCATGATGTGGTTTTGCTGGTTGAGTTGTTCGGAGAGAACCCCCCCGAACCCTCAACGGGGGGGGGTAGACTGGTCTGGCCCAAAACGTTTTGGGACCTTGCTGAAGTCCTTGAGCTTCTGTTGCTTCTCCTCACTGGTGGGCTTCGCTGGAGGAAGCTCCACGAAGAACCTCAGTTTCGCAGAAGCGGCAAACAAATCATGGAGAAACTGTTCTCCCAAAATTTACAATCCCTAGGGCTCCAAGTATCTTCTGAGAATGTGCTTGGGGTGGGCTATCAGGGTCCAAAGACCTTCTCAGGAGGTACTTGGAGCCCTAGGGGAGAGATTGTATATTGTTCAGACCCTTGAGAGAAACTATCTGCATCTGGGTGAAGTCAATTTAGGAGCAATCTTGGGAGTGTCCAGCCCTAGCGAGCATATACTGCAAAGTGGATCATGAAAAATGAAGGTGTTTTCATAAGTTTGATGGTCAAAAAACAACTTTCAAGAACACTGGAGCATACATAATTTATGGCCCCTACCTTAGACCCCCCCCTATCTCCACATACCTAGGAATAATTAGCAATTATTCCTGGGGCCTTGAACATAGTTTCAGGATAATTATTCCAGATGTGCACCTGATGCAGGAATATTTTCTGTCATTAGAAATATCAACTCGTGGAACAGATCCAAGACAGATCAACACAGGCTCGAAAAGCTTCGATAGTAGCTTCGATTATGTAAATTATTCCAGGGATAGTTGGCATGAAATTATTCCTCCTGAGTCTCAGCATCAAGAGACCCCCCTTTAGGATTATTTAAATAAATATTCTACCGTCTAATTATTCCACAAAAAATATTCCACTATGTGACATGCCCCCCCTGGAATAAATATTTAAGGGAGGGCCCATCATAATTTGGGTGTTCCTGGATCTTGCAAGTCAACAATGCAACGGAGAAAGTGGTCAGCAACTTGGCCCAGCAGCTGTTCCAAAGGGCCAAAGCTGGAGGATGGACCACCCATCGTCCAGCTGCGAATCCTCTTCACCCCCTTTGTTGACCGACTTCTTCAGCCCCAAAAATCACCCCAGCCCAGCTGCCTGGCTTCTTTCGCCCCGTGAGAGACAGAACTATGTTACGCCCGGCGACTGCGGCGCGTTGAAATGGACCAAGAAGGCGGTCGAGAGCAAGGCCACCAGGACTAACCTCCGTTGACAAGTCCACATGCGCCACGATTCCCAAACACTCCACAATTCCCTACTTCAATTTGTATGGCATATATTCCAGGGCCCCCTGTCAGGGGTGGTTCATGGACCTCCTCTAAAGGGGCCATTCTTAGACACCCCTGGGCCTGGGGCCAGGGGGGATGTAAGGGTATTTGCTCAGCTGGGGTGGTTGAAAGGATCGGGTCAATATAGGCACCCAGCTCCAGTCGTACCTTCGTCTCAAAGGTGGGCCCACCAGTGGTATTCGACTGGTGGAGATCTGGAAGATGAGTCCGAAGGTGGATCTGGAGCCTGATCATGGCCCGAGCTAGGCTTCCAAGCACCGTTCGTTTAATAACTAGGTTTCAAGCGAACCAACTATAAGGATGTTATACTACAAAACCAGGTCAACCATTGTTTAGTTTCAATATATGTGTTCTAATGGTCTTGAAAGTCTAGGGATCGGAGGAAATCTAGATGTCAGCCCCAGGTCAGGTCGTGTCGAAGACGAAGCTCCACATTTCACTCCACTGGTGAACGTGGAGGAAGCATGAGGAAGCTATACCCTAGAGGGCTCCAAGTAGCTTCTGAGGAGGCACTTGGAGCCCTAGGGATAGTCTTCCAAAGGTGAGGTTCCATGTCCCTAGGGATCGAGTCGTACCTTCTCAGAAGGTGATGTGTTCGACACTGTTATGTAGCGTTTGGAGGGTCCAGTCGTACCTTCTGAGGAGGTACGATTCCCAGACGCTCCATGTATGCCATATATGCCTACATTGGGGTGGTTTGGGGGGTCAAAGTAGGCATATATGGCATACATGGAGTGTCTGGGATTGGATCCCTTAGGGTGTTGATCTTCCCGGAATGTATAAGGGGCAACGATGCTAGTAGGCGTCATGTTTTAAAAAACGCGCGAGGATCGTTTCGGTGGGATTGAAGTGTGAGTGGCATCTGTGGATTGAAGATCGAGGTGTGCGCACTCGTCGCCAGTGCAGCAGCTTTGAAGAACTGGCCGCCAGCTGCATAGCTACCATCGAGAAAACCTTGGTTTGAAGCGAACACAAACCTTGGACTGGCAGCGTTTACGTGACCCAAACTGGGCACAACTATTAAACTTTCATGTGGACTGAGACTGCAGGTAGATGGTACCAGTCCCAGTATCAATAGGTGTATGCCATCATCCAGGATCATCCAGGGTCTCCAAGTACGTGACACTGGCACATTCGGTTCAAAAATGGATCTCATCCGAAAACCACCAAACAACATGAGCCGTTCGAACAATTCCCTACGTAGAGAGGGACCCAAGATCCGAAGAATCTGCGCATCCGGAAAGGGACGTTCAAGCACTGACACCACAAAAAAAAATTAACACCCTTCCTGCAAAAATAAGAACATAAACTATTATTTACACATAACATAACAGTTCAGTTTAACATTGACACGTCCCGCGAGTGGCGCACATAACACGCTCACTGTCTTCCGGGTGGCGCTTCACCACAAAAAGCACCACGTAGCTGGTGGCTAAAGTGCCCAGCAAGGAGAACTTGGCCTCGCTGTGATGGTCAGCTGCGACGCGCGGCTTCGCAGGAACCGCTGGCTGGGAGATTACCCGGTGGCTGGTGGTGGAACAACATCGGCGCGACAGACTGTGGCTTGGGAAGATGGGGTGCAATGAAACCCGTGGGGCTCCAGTCATACCTTCGTATCGAAGGTGGGACGACGGGGGCCCGGGTGCTAGGAGGGTCCAGTCATACCGAATGTGAGGAGGTGCTTTTGGAGTCCTAGGGAAACATGCTGGATGGACATTTACGGTAGTACACACAACATCACACCGCAGTGACCCAGCGTTTTGGAATCACTGCAATACCTCCATACCTCGCCTCCTGTTCACCCCCAGCTGCCCATCCCTATCTCTATCTCTGAAGCCCAGACTCCAGCTGGGCGAACGAACGCAAGCAGCACAGGGGGTACAGCACCAGAGCGGAGACCAAGAGGATCACGCCCGACCTGTTTGCGCCGAGGAGCCTGGAACTCTGTCCTGACGCCTGCTCCCCCTGCTCGGGCCTATGGGTCCGCAGATGAACATGGAACCTGAGAATCACCGACCATTTTCCGAATACCAACCCGTTGGGTTTTGGGTTGTTAATCTGCAAAAGTCGCTGGGTGGTGGAACAAAGAACGCCGACATCGCGGCGAACCATTGTAAAACAAATAACACACGCCAGGCGACCAGGACCAGTCATAGAATAAAGCACCAAGCGAGAGGGGATCTCTTCGACACTGCCGCATGCATGGTTTGTTTGGAAGAACAGTCGCGTTTCCCACTATGTATATAAGTCCAACTTTTCAAAATTGGAAATCGACTTGGCCTGTCAGGATGAGTGTGCCTCCCTCAAATGGACTGTGTGTCTTCTGAATGCCCCTCCTGCTGGTCAAGACTGCTGGCACCGGCAGGTTCTGAAAGGAGGAAGAGAAGACGTCGCCCAAAACCTCAGAAGACAAAAACAATCAATCGTAATCTATCCATGGTCCAACTACTGTAAACTGAATTTGAGTATGTGTCTACATCTTCTTCTTCTTCTACTACTACTACTAGTAGTAGTAGTAGTAGTAGTAGACTAGTACTAGTAGTACTAGTACTAGCTTCTTCAAACTGACTATTTGAGGAGTCTCTAAGTGACCACCTAAGCCCCCAAGCATAAAAACAAAACACTTTTAAGAATCAAGTATACTAGTGGATCTCTATATACCAGGGCCCCTATGGGGTGTCTAATAATAGCCCCTTAGATTTTAGGGGTCTCCATTAACCACCCCTTGGGGGGGCCCTGGTAGGCAATGATAGATTTTAATATCATAATGTTACAATGTTCATCATCAAAACAGCTTGTTTACAGGTGCCGCAAAGCAAGCTTTTGGTGGAAATTCCAAGACGGCTTTTGGCAATTCCAAACGATCACTGCACTCAAACACAGAGTGTTGTTTGTTTCGGGTGGGACGAACATGGTGATTAATGGTGAACAACTAAATACCAGGGCCTCCCATTTTGCGTGCGTTTCAGCCCCACAAGATGGTGATGCGGGGTCTCCATTCACCACTCCTTGTCCAGTGTGGGTATAGAGGTGGGACCCGCAGTTCTCTATGCTTACTGGATCAAGTGCACAGTGAATTGCCTCAGCTTGCGCATGCTGACACAGGAGCCATGGCATAGACCACGGCGCCACCAAAACACTCAAGAATGCCTCAGAGTTGGGGTGCTTTCGCAAGCCATGCTAATGCCATCTACTCCTACAGAAAGGGTGCCATGATGTGCCATGTGTAGACTCAACATGTAGCTTCAGAAGCATCATGTTCTATGGTTGTTGGTCCTGGTTGGCACGTCTGGTCCTTAAACCCCCTTCCAACTGGCCCACTCACAGGTGGATGGAAGGCTGGTCTGACAAGCAGGAAATGTAGCCAAGGTATGGCCAAACATGTGAAACCCAAAGGGTAATCGACACAAACAAGCTAACAAACTGAATGACGTGTTTTGGCGAGGTCATTGGTTGCTACTCTGTAAGGAAAGAACATGAAAGCTATCTAACAGCAAACTTGAAGTGACAAATGCCACCACTAAGCGCACTAAGGTTTCTTCCGAGTAACTTACATGGGAAGTTATACTAATAAATAGCGGACTCTCTCAGTTTCACTGGAAAACGTTTTGTCCACGCGTTCGCTCGTGGGGGGGTTCCAATCCCCGAAAAGAGGTTCTGCAGGTTGTCCTTCCCAGGCGAAAAGCATGGCCCTGGTCTTCGAGCAGAACCGGTGGGCACTGATCCCGAAAACCCGCCTAGACCGGTCAACAGGTGACTGCGTGGTTCCCTCGTACCCAGTTCGCCTCCAATTCGCATAGAGATATAGAGAAAGAGAGAGATGAGATGAGATGACATGATGGACATAACATGACACCCGCAAAAAAGAAAGTCATGCATGGCCGCCATGGCCCAAAGACCAAAGAGATGAGGGGACCAACCAGTTCTTCAAGGCTTCACTGAACGGTCCATCTCTCACCGTCCGAAGCCAGACCCACACTCCACATCTTCGGCGCCATGAATCCGACCCTCATGACTTCTCCAAGCTGCAGACCCATTGTGGGATCCATTTGCCCGACTGGACCGACTTCTCCCAGGCGGCGCCGAAGCTGGCGCTCTCCGTCTCTTGACACACCTTGCCTCGTTCGAGCAGCTGGTGACACACCGCGCCCGCGCGCGGTGCACGCGGATGCGAGCTGTGAGCGCCGGAGGCAAGGCGAAGACGAAGGCCGGAGGCACGCGACGTTGATGACCGTGACTGGTGTCCGAGGGTTCCACTTCAAAAGCTTGGTTGAGGATTCACTTCAGCTCTGAACCTTCGCGTCTCGGAAACTCCACCTCTCTCTCCGCTGCCGCTGAGGCTCCGATGAGGTAGAAGGTATAGGCACTCAGCCCTGCGGAGCCGCCCAGCAAGAGCAAGGAGACCCAGAGGGCGGAGGACGAGGAAGCGAAGGCCTGGGTTTTTGCGAGGGCGAGGCCCAGCGGCGTTTGTCTCGTGTCGTTGATTCAGGGTGATGCCTTCCAACTGTGGTACAATCAGCTAAGAAACTATAGTCACCAGCTGAGGTTTGCTCATACTCATTTGGAAGGAACACTCGGAGCACTATAACTTATAACGACTATAAGTTATATAAGGGCTTCCAATTGGGGCTTCCAGGTCAATTGGAGGTGGATTGCATATTTCATCATAATCATCCAACAACTGTCAACGATCGATCTGCTAGTCCGCCATCCCCCCATTTTCCAGCACAGCAGTAAGGCTGCTGTGCTCACCGAAAAGCCATGTCCCGGCGGAGAACACACGCTGCGTCTGTTTTTCCCCTTGTGTTTGTTCCTCTTCGGGTCCAGTGGCCGCGATGCCGGCAGGCAAGCTGAGGATGCCGGAACCCACCAGGTTCTTTGCCTCGGCCGCACGCTGAGCCCGTGTGGGTTCAGGGTGGGGGACAGCGTGTCTTCGGTGTTTCCACCGGAGAAGTGGTCTGTTCTTTTTCGATGGACTGGGGAGCCCAAAGCACTGGGGAGGTGGGTGAACACAACCGGAAAAAAGACGTCACATGACGGTGTGGATGGCTTCAAATCTGTCCTTTAGAACGACAAGGAAAAACAACCCCTAGATTCGGACCCGCCCAAAAAAACATCAATTAATTGTCAACAATTCACTGTGTGGCATAGCCGCAAGCCTATACCCATTCCCATCATTTCCCCCTAGAACCCCCTATAGCCTGATACCCCCGGTGACACCAACGCATGCTGGCATGGCACCAAGTTGATTCCTGCATCACTCACGCTAGCGCTCGCGGCGCTGGCCTCACCGCTCCCGGACGCGCGGAAAGCCACGTGGGGTCGCGCGGTTCCGGAGGCGTCTGCGATCCGCCCGGTCAAGGATCCACGTGGTGGAGCGGTCGGTGCGGCAAAGCACCAGTGATACCTGTTTCGGCGCCAAAACAGGGATCTGCTGTTTCGGAGCCGTGACAAAACGACCTCTAGTCTAGCACCCCTATATACAGAATGTCCTCTATAGTCTAGAAGGGGACAATATTGGCCCAGTTCGGGAAAAGATCGATCACACATGATCACACTGTAGGACGAAAAAACCAGGGTGAAGGTCTATAGCCGGACCGGGATCAACAAGTTGTTCCAACAAGATTTCTCCAGTGAGGCAGGTTTACACATTCGTAAGTCCTGGTTTATAGTTTAAATGTTCTTCTTCAGGCTCTTTCTCTGTCTATCTCTGTCTATCCACCATCCGTATTGGTTCTGAACGATGTTGTCGTTGCTGTTCGCGTCGCTTGCATCTTGTGCTGAGTTTCCATGGACCCCGCCACAGGAGGTTCATGACGGGAGAAACCGACAGGTGCACAGCCACAGGGTAAAACCTGGTCCTTAGCCTCAAACTGTCGTGCGTTTGTACGATCAACTGCCAGTAGGTCAAAAGCAGGGATATGATATCCAAGGTCTCGCGACCCTTGGGGCAACCCTTGGGGCGAGAAGCGACTCTGGCAGTCCACTGGGCACTCCGTGAATTTGTAGCGACGGCATGCGGCACATGACCATCGTATAAGAGTATACTCTATATAGAATATATAGGGACATGACAAATCAGAAACCTTAGACTTCCAAGACCATTAAAACAATGGTTGACCTGGTTTTGTTGTATAAAATCCTTATAGTTGGTTCGGTAAATCCTATTAAACTACATAATGGTGGTTGGAAGCCCAACCGGCATAGATACACATGCACCCTTCTTCGCTTGGCACTTGGCACTCCGGCGCCACTTCAATCCTCTCCCGCCATGCTCATGTCTAGGCACCCAAGGCTAAGGCTGAAGACCAGCAATAGGAAGCGCGGACGACCAGCTCCCCGCACTTTCACGCCCACATTCCGAAAGCAGCCCATGGCGCCACGCCGGCCCAACGCCGACGGCTGCTGGGTGCTTGGATGGAACTCCTTTGGGCACCAAAGGGGGAAAAGGGATACCCAGCAGCCCTGGCACAATTCCCTCTCTTGCCCTAAGCACGGAGAGGCACCTTGATCACCATTTTCCTGTTAAGCTTAGGGGGCCGCCAAAGAGTCACGGAGATGACTTGATCAGTGCTTTATAAAACCTAGAGATGACTTGATCAGTGCTTTATAAAACCTAGTGGGGGGCCCGGCGATGTTACAATTGGAGAACCCATCGGAGCGTGGTCCGGCGAGTTCGCTGCATCAGGCTGTCTCAATCCGGTTCCGTCCAGTCTGAGCTAGCCGACCTACCTGGTCCGTCCCGGATATATGTTGTGTTTCATGAAGAACTCCAGTAGTTTCAAGAGCTCGTTGATGCGACACAACTGACTTCGGTGACGAAGTGCTGTGACGATCTGTCATCCATGTCATCGATCTGTCCGTGGGGACATCCGCAGTGCAGAACCTCAGCGGTGAACCGGCGGTGAGCTTTGGTTGGACAACATCTGACCGACCGAGACCGAGGGCTTCATGGTTTTATTGCATCATGTTTTTATTGAAACAAATATAAATGAACAAATAATATAACGAAATACTATGTGTTTGGTTGTTTTTGTTGTTTTTTGTTTTACAATGAAAGAATGCACTATGTAACTTATGTTTGCTCCAAAGTCTTGCAGTAACATTTGTTGCTTCAGTCGAAACAGCATCTGCAAGATTCTGGAGTGCATGTCTCATTGTAGTAGATCCTCCACAATTCTTGAGTCTGCTATGCCAAGATCCTACAAGAAGAAAGGACCATGCACACACTTTGACTGAGCGGGCAAACAAGGATCCGGTAAAATCCATACCACATGCTTAAAACAAAACGAATGCAGTGTTCCTCACAGGGCTACCTATTTCTTTGCAATCTGAAAGTCAGTGTAAAACTTATAAAATACGCAACAACGACAATACCCAATATTACAGTACTTAGTGATCCACATTGTTCCACACTCTAGAAAAAAACATACTCCAAATATTTTACAGTGGATGTTAAGATACCTCTGTCGGGAAACGCTCATGCAACATGTGTATCCTTTTTGAGGATGTGGTATCGCCCTAGACTTCCTCACCCACCATTGATTCAATCGTCTTGACGGAACAAGCATTGCCAAACACTCCATGTATGGCATATTTGCCTACATTGACCCCTCAAAACACCCCTATGTAGGTAAATATACCGGTTCCATGGAGTGTCTGGGTACTGTTACTTTAGAAGGGATTTTAGACTAATTACCACAACCAGGTCCTTCCAGAACATGGCCCTTCCAGAAAGGCCGAACGGGCCGTTGCACCGCTCAAGAGCAGGCACTTCGTCCCTCCGCACCTCGCCTTGGCTCCTTCATCCACCTGATCGACGGACCAAACAGCGAGAAGCCGGGAGAAAAATCACCTCTGCCCAGAATGGCCAGACCCAAGTTCTCACAAACACCTAAAAAAACCACTGGATGTTGATCCCACGTTGGCGGATGACCGGTGGGTTTTTTCCGCCACTGGGGGATCGAGGAAGACCATCTCAGAGCAATGGACTGTTCAAAGACCAGACTTGCTTAGAATGCTTTGGAGATCTTTGGAGTGATGAGGACCAATTTGAGTCTTCTAAGGACATATAACATTTAGCCTCCCAGGCCAAAGGTTTTACAATCCATGTCTGGGTGGGGTTGAAATCCATGGCACCATGAGTCTACGGGTGCCGAATTCGCCCCCCCACACAGAGTCTACTGTCTATGCGAAAGAGTCGTCCATGGTCAGGCCGCCTGCAGGGTGATGATGATCTGGCTACCTGAGTTTCGCCCCAGTTCGGCCCAAGCGCGGTGGACGAGGACCGTAGTGGTCGACGCCACAACGGTGAACTCCGGTGAACGAGTCTGAAATCCCGTTTGGCCTCCAGTCGTGCCTTCGTTTCGAAGGTGGGACTGGGGTGGGTGCCAGGAGGGTCCAGTCATACCGAACCTGAGGAGGTACTTGGGCTAAAATGGACTGACCAGACTTGGCCGTACTGGGTTTGATTCACCCCTTGGATGTACTTCAAAAGGATCTACTTGAAACCGATCTGTTGGCTATGAGGATGTGTCAACAGGGCTGTTGGCAAGCTGGTCCGGCTTAACCCGGGCTGTAAATTTGATCATCAATCAATGTACCTAGAATCCACATAGCCCCTGCTTTGGAGTGGAGAAACTGTCTTTTAGATCAAACTGGTAATACCACACAAATGGATCATGGAATCGGTACCAATCTGTAGGAATTGTGGTGTTCGGTCATCTTGAAGAGGACTGTATTGTTGCATGCACTCTTTAGTAATCACAGAATGGACCTAGATGAGACCGGAGGCATGCTGGAAGAGGAACATGAACCAAGAACCACCGACCCAATGGATGTTTCAGGAGCAACACAAGCAAACACACCCATATCTCAAATCTGACCCACGCAGAACCAATATCCAAACCATAAGGTAAACCAGCAGAACTTGCAAAAAAACACATACTGTTGGGTTGGGATGGTTTGGGGTGACCCAAGTAAACATGCTCTGCACGTTCCAAGTTGAGATCGCCTAAACCCGAATCAAAACACCTGGGACATCGACGTCCTGGGGTCCACCAAGGGGTGCACCAGTTGTTTTTTTCCACGAGAACGAACCGCTGCTGGCACGCCACATGGGAACTTGTTGTTCATTCCTTTGAACCGCACAAACAAAAACGCCAAATGCTGCACATGTGTTCAAACCTTAGCAAAAAATGTTGGGCGGGAACCACGATAACGTTCTGACAATTACCCACATCTGGTATATATAGGATCAATATTGATATATAATTATGGATTAGTGATTCACAACAATTCTTATATATTGTGTTGAAACAAAATGGGAGGCAAAACATGACCAAGGCACTGGAGATGGATTCCGCCATGATGAAGCGTAAAGAGGGTCGGGTCAAATCCAACGTCGTCACCGGATTGGAAGGACAAGCCTCCAAGTGGAGTGGTTAAACCCACGATACGTCACGAGACAATCAAGGGCAGGCGGGCCCTGAATCACAACCAAAATCTAATATTGATCTGATTTTTTGCGTATTTGTGTATTATCCAGGTTTTGTTTTCGTTGTACGCATGCAAAATACAATGTGTTGTTGATTTTGTTCTATGTTCTTCGCAGTGCCTGCCAAGCGGTGTCGAGCAAATAGGCATGCTTTCACTTACCTAACAGTTTTAAAACCCGGCTCCAAACGGCAACTTCCCAAGCCAACGGACATTAGGTCGCTCACTCAAATCCGCAACATGACTACCAGCACCGCATGCAAGGTCTCTGGCTAGAACGGCTTTCAACTGCAAGTTCCGCTTGGGAGTTGCACTTCCGGGATAATCCTTGCCTCACACAGTGGACAAACTTCCCACTGATAGCTGATGTTCCTAAACTCATCCTCCAAAACACTTACTGCATAATGGCAGCTGACCCATGGGCCCGTGCCTCGGCTGCGACCATGCCATTGGGGCCGTAGTAGGGATAGCCTTCAGCATCCTGGAGACTTGAGACATCCATGCAACCTAGTTGGCATTGAGTTCAGAGAAAGTATGGGAGGAAATCATGGGAGCACATGCGTGCACAAAGGTGACTCTTCCACTCTTCCAGCTGGAAGCCCTAGACACTGAGGGTCAAAGACAACTTGCTTCAGAACTAGATGCGCGATGCGCGCCAAGTCAAAGCGAATACCGCATCACAAACATGCATTCATGGCTCAAGCAAAGGTTAACGAAGCACGGCAGTAAGCCCCCTAGTGGAAGGTCTAACAGGAGCTCGTTGCTTGCCGCGCGTTTTTCCATGTCAAGTTCACCTCCTGTCTGGCCTCTGTCATTTGTGTCTCTCAGTCGTCCGGATCCGAGGGGCCGCGACAATGAGCATTGTGTCCCTGCACGTTTAGCCTCAAGAGTTAAGATAATTTTATCAACTCCGGGTGCGGAGGTAAACCAAGTACTGAGAATTTTCCTCAACTTCGAGCTTTAAGGGAAATCATCCCAAGCAATGAAATACACCCAAACATGTTACACGAGAAAATACCAAGGCCTGGTCTGTGCATGAAACCAGAGTGGACAGTGGCCCGAATCAAAAAGGCACCGCTCAAACCACCTTGTCTGCTCACCCACAAGGTAAAGTCGAATCAAACTAGCCAACCCTGAGAAGGTGTTTGGGAAGGGTTTAGAGGGTCCAAACACCTTCCGAGGAGGTAACCTCCTGGAGCCCTAGAAGGTAACCTTGCCGTAAAAGATGTCATGAAGGCATTGAAACCGAAGCTTGCTCGAAGGATCTGGCGCTTCTGCAGCTCCACAATTTCACACCAGGAAATCCGCATGAAAAGAACTATATATCCGTTGGATCGAGGGGGGGAGTGCCTATAGTCGCTAGAGACTGGCGACGTCGACGTACGTGTATGTGCAACCTTCACCTTTCTTGGATTTACACCCTGGTAGACTAACCTGGACCCTGAAAACCACGGGTTGGTAGAGGAACACCATTTTCCAGGCGTCAGGACGTCAGGGTCTATGTGACTCGGGAGTGTACCCCAAAAAGAGGCTTCACCGCTTCACCCTTTGACAATCCATCAAATCACCCGCTCATGCACGTTCAGCCACTGTGAAGCTTGTCAAGTGCACCGTGCTCTGCCGTGCTCTGCCGTGCTCTGCCGTGCTCCGCTCCTCTGCTATGCCACTCCCCTAGGCCCTAGGCCCATTCAGGACCCGGTCAGGATCGAATCAGGACCCGGTCACAGCTGATCATCAGGCCAAACCAAGAAGAACGAGCCCACCGCTTGACGATTTTGTGATCGCATCCCAGTTCCAATTTTACATCCCAGTGGATCCCAATTGCCACTCTAATTCTGAGTCTGTACAGATTTGGTCGAACTTGAACCACTGGTTGCGAATGTTCGTGGTTTACCTTGAAGATACTGGGGAAAATATGTGTCGAGAGCCATCTCGTTCACTCATTTATGTTGGCGCCAGGAGGCCAGGAGGGCCCAGTCGTACCTTCTGCGAAGATGCCAGTGGATCCCTACAGGGCTTATACCAGCACCCTCCTGTCAGGGTCACCTGGCTGGTTTCGCCCTACACTACTACCCGGGATCTTCAAAGAGGACACCCCTTTTTCAGGTTACCATATGATTGAGAGATATATTCAAATGACCTCACGTAACCATATGACCTCAGGTCTCTAGGTATGTGTTTTGTCTGACCCATTATGACCGGCGTAGTCGACACTTGACTCATCGACACAGCAGACTCCTGTGCCCAGCAGTAGACATCGTAGTCCCACTTCGCATGGAGCGATTCCATCCCTGCGAGGTCAGTTCTGCGCTACCAAACCAGCGAGTCGACCGAGGATGTGAGTACAAACTACCTTTCGGGTCTGACATGGCCCATCAAAAAAAACGTGGTTTCCCTAGCAAAAAGCATGGTTTTTGTGCGTGACAACCTGTATTTTTCATGGGTTTGAGGGCCGGGTAGTACCTGGTCCCATGTTCTAGAGTACTTTGGAGGGTGGAAAGATGTTGAACCAGCTTCTTAGTTGCAGACATCATCCAGTGTCCACACAACACGGTCTGTTTTCCACGCAACACCGGAATACATGGACCCTGCGAATGTGACAGCTGTTTTCTTCGACGCGACGAGTGGTACTGAAGACCAACCCAGTGGTTTTGGAGTTCGTGGATTCCCCCCACCTTCAATTCAAGTTCATATCTAAAAATCAAGCCCAACTGGAAGGGGCCGTGTCCCCATCAAATTCCTAACCCTCTGGTCGAACACCGTTCCTTCTTTTGGTGCACCGTTGCCCGGTCCGTTCGCCCGTGACGGATCAGTAGTCATGGGCGGGGAGTCCATTAGGTCAACAAGAAAGTATATGACGGTTGACGGTTTGTAATACACCTAATTTCCACAAAAATAAAACAAAGCATGTCTAGGACAGCTGTAGTCTTCTTGGACACTACACAAAGGAAAGCAGCCACGTGTTCAATCACTATTCATCCCTATACTCTGAGGAATAAGGATTTGGCCCATCAATATATTTCCGTCAACATGTCAACTACAAACTCAAGTGGTGAGGCATATGGCAGCATGGGGGTGTAGAACTGTGGCCAAGTGTGGACTATATATCACAAGTTCTACAAATTAAATATCGACTCACACATAGAATCTTAGAACCGATTGAACAGAACACCACATATGCACAATGTATACACGTACAACCAATCGCCAACATTGATGCACTTGTATGTAATTGTAGATTTGGTGGATTAGGAATGACTAATTAAGACAACTCTTGTATACAACGGTATCTCCACAGTTGAATCCCTATTTTTGCAAATAACATCAAATAACAATAACATCAAACAACATACACAAATCCTAACAAATCAACCTCTCCAAACTTGGCTAAATATGCTAAATGCAAACCAAGTCACCTCCCAACTCAACGTCCGACTGTTCCGAATAACACGTCACACGAGGTGTCGGCCAAACCGTCCTCCGATCTTCGCCTGTGGAGCCTAAGCCCGTGGTGATCTGATTCACAATGATGGTGAAATCGCTCGTGGTGGTGACGTCCATGTAGAAACCTCCGCAGAACTTCGGAGCGTTAGCCGCTCTCGCCACGCGGGTCCGTCACCGGTGCGACGTCGATCCGGAGGCACGGACAAACACTCTGGCGTGTTTGTCAGTAGGAAATGAGTAAAGAGAGGAGTGGATCCCAAGTCTATACCTTTAGGCAGAAATACTATGGTTTGTATGAAAGACACATATGCCAGGACCTTCAGTACGTGACCTAACTTGAGATCCTAGTGGCTGAGGTCACGAATCGTCCCTAAAGAGGTCACAAACAGAGACTCCAAAGAGGTCACGTACGGCTCAGGTCCTGGATGAGGGAATTCGGAATGACTGTGTAAATACCTCAGGACCCAGCCACCGTCCTTTCCTTTCCCTCATTCCTTATGGCTGTTGCTGCCAGCGTATGGGTGCCCAAAAGATGGAGTCCTTGCGTCAAAATGGACAATAAGTCGACCTGCGGGTTTTAGATGGTTTTAGTGAGTCAAATGACATATGATGAAATAGGAGTTGCTTTTTGAGATGAGATGGTGACCCCTGCTACTCACTTCAACCCAAATGAAACCTTGCGTTCAAACAGTTGGGACCCGCATGAAGCTGCCAATGGTTGCAGCTTCAGAATTGGACAACATAACAAAAGTGTGTGTGTGTGTCCTTTTGAACATGTGCAAGTCCAACATGCCCGCACCTGGGGACCTGTCGTCATGTGTCGTCCAGGCCTGTTCTTGTTTTTCAACCCATGGTCGGACCTCTTCGCTTCTGGGCACAAGGCTATCCTGCTTCTGCTTTCGGCAACGGAGGGGGGGCATTGCCAGCACCGAACCCTCACAAAGCGAAAAACTGCTTCACCTCTCGCGCGTTCCGCGTTCCTTCGCTGCGCAAGACGGCACCACGCGAGGCTACGTGCACGCGCTTCGATCGCCCGGGACGACCCATATGGTATAGCACAGGTATAAATTCAGGTTACAGGAACCACACTTTCCACCAACTTGGTTTTGAGTGGGGTGTCGCCAACTTTGCCAAGAAGGTTTTTCGATGTTTTTCGGGTGAGCCATTCATGACTGGGTAGTTGGCTGCCCCCCCCGCCCATCCGAAGTCTTGAAAAAATACAATGAAATGTTCGACAAAAACTGCTGAAGACTCTGCTTCGGGAACTTTGCGCGTTAAGAACAAGCAACGAATTTCTTCATGGGGATTGGACACATTCAAGGATCTCAAAAACTACCCGAGGGATCCAAGTAGCCTCTGAGAAGGTGTTCGGGGTGGGTTTAGAGGGTCCAAATACCTTCTCAGGAGGCACTTGAAGCCCTATAGGGTTATAGATGAACGAGACGTTGACCAGGTCGCGGCGCAGAAGAGACGCTCGGTCATGTTCTTCTACGCTTGAACCAGGAGCCCTTCTTGGAAATGCGCCAAATGGCTTGTCCAACGACTCCGAAGTGTGAGGCTGCTCCTTTTTCTGGGACCGACGCTCCTCCAATTTCTCTCCGGCATCTTCACCACCCCTTGGTCCACCTGATGTTTATGGTGTGCCGTCCATGTTTGTCCACAAAATGCTTATGTTCTCCTTCTCCCCTTGGCTAAGGTCCCCATCCAAACGCTCCTATACCCTTGAAAAATTGCCAGCTGCTCCGCGTGTTCCACGCACCTGATCACCTTCCGAACCCCCGCGAACGACGCACCGTTCGAACCCGGTTCGCACCCGCTCCACGCGGAACCCTCCGTCGCTCCGTCGGACCGCCTTCGGCGATGACGGCGTTGGGCGTGGGCGGATCGAAGCCGGTGTTCACCACCTTTGGACCGGCGTCCGTCGAGGCAGTCCGTCCCGGCGTCACGGGTCCGGGGAAGACGATGGTGGGAAGGAAACGGGTCGAACAACTGGTTGACTATCCCAGTTGGGTACCCCAGGTGACGGGTCCTATTTACGGTCACTTAACCTCTTTTGGAAGTCACTGCAACATCAGGAATTCCATGATCTCTGGAGATGGGGAGAATCTGAAAGTACACAGAAACTCGAGAACAACTGTTATATATAAAAATCCAAACCGTATCGAACATCAAATACTCCTATTCCATCCTCCTTACCTCCCTCACCTTTAGTGCAACCGGCGTGAATCAGTGATGCCGCTTCGGACCGATCGACACCGAAGAACGTGCGTCGACCCTGGATGCCTTCGAATACACCAAAACCACACGACTAGATGAATAGTGTTTGGCTCCAATATCCCCGGATCCACATTCCCAACCTGAGGTACGGTGATTGAAGACCATTTCAATGCAGGCCTTTATAGGGTCGGGGCCAGTCGTACCGGACCAGAGGTTTCACTGAACATGGCGGGAACGAAGCGTTCTTCGGGACAGAAAAGGTTCGACACTTGGTTGATGGGAGGCACAAATGGCATACCTGGAGCAACCAAGTTGAATGCCAAAAAGGAAATGCGATATAGGTCCAAAGACATGTTTTTGTTGGAGCTGTCATGCCATAAAAGTGACATATGTCACTTTTGTTGTGCTCTTTGGGGATCTTGACCCAGTGCAACACGAAGGACGGGTGCAGAATGGATGAAACCCTACAGGAGGCACTGTCTCCAGTTCAACTCTTGGCATTCTAACGTTTGATGAAGGGATGCGCTGCAACTTGTAAAATCTGACAAACACGTCTATGGCGGACATTTGCGGGAACATGCGAGAAACTTGTGGACTGGACATTTGCAGTATATATATATTATTGTATTGAACACCTCACCAACACTTCAGCTTGACCAGGCTGCTTTTTGAAGCCCAATCCTCGGCAGAAACCTGCAAATATGTTTATCTCAGTGCATTTGTGGTCCAAGTCTATCTGAGGGACTGACACCCGTTCATAGCATATCTCATGTTTTCGTAAATATGGTTGTTTTTTGTTGGTCCAGCATGGCACTTGTTCTTGCGCTTTGGGGAATCGGGTGGGCGACCGGTGACTTGAGTTCCTCTTCATCTGCCCCAACATCAGCCATATATTTAGTAAGAGTAAGGCTGTCATTTGTGTGTATGTCTTTAAGTGTCCCGATCTGACCAGCTCGCACTTCCGGAGATAGACCGACGAACCCCCCATGAACCCACAAACTGGGGCGGTGTTGCCGGCCGCCTTGCAGTAGGCCCGACCAGCTTCATTCAAACTCAAGGTCACCGTGATGCTATCCTGGCTGGACATGGCCATCGCCTCTTGACGTGTCAACTGTTGATGGCGTCTTTGGTCGAAATGAGAGGTCGCGAACGTGGCCCCCATGTTCCTTGGATGACATGCCTCAAACATATACTTGGGGTGCACTGAAAACACCGCGTGCGGTGAGTGCGGTGCACCGAAACACAGGTACGGGGGGGAACGAGTCGAACCACAGTCAAACGCCGGCAAAACGTCGGGTCACGTGTGACGTTTAACGAAGAACGAAACCATGGGTGACCCCTCTGGGCGCGCAAATCTGATGTACCAACAGTGCATCTACCAAGCTATGAGGGTCGACTGTCGACCACTTAGGAACTCTCAGGTGTCCAAGATGGATGTACACAAAAGACTCCAACCATGCTTAAAGGGTTTCTTTGAATGTACCTTAGTGGAACTCTCAGGGTTATTCCCACCCCAACCCTGCCTTTGAACCGATTGAATTTTCCCAGTGATAAAATTTTACTAGTACCAAATATGGGGAACACTTGCACTTGGTCACTCATGAACCCCCATAGATTCATGGTTTGCACCGAAAAAACACTAGTTTTACTTCTTATCATTTTTAGATCCACCCAAAAAAAACACAGGTTGTTTATATACAATGTACAATTTGTTAATTAAAACATATGTTCATCCAGCTCCCCTCCCCTCCCGTGGCGAACCAAAGACCCTCCCGTACCCGCCCCGCGAGTAGACGAACACTCGGCCGCCTCGGTGGCCGGCGTCTCTGCGCAGGTGAACGTGCCGAAGCTGGGCGCCGTGGTGTCCAACGTCCTCACCTGGTGCTCCATCAACCGCCGTGATCGGTGTGAGGCTGGGTTTGGGACCGTGCGTATGGTGGGTCAGATAGTCAGTCAGGTCAGCCAAGTCAGTCAGTCAGTCAGTCGGTCTGCTAGTTAGTCAATTAGTCCGTCAGTCAGATAGTCAATTACTCAGCAACTTTAATCAATCCGCCAGTCAGGTTCCAATTGCCTTTTGGTTTGTCATTGGATCGCGCTGCCGTCGCTGAAGCCCAACAAACCATCCTCCTTTAGGTTTCCTATCTCGGAAACTTCCGCCACCGCCTTGAGCGGTACTGCTGGCAAATGAAATTGAAATGCGAAAAAAATAAACAATGATAAACATAAAAACACATATCTATACACGTCGCAGGCTGCTGCCGATGCCCTTTCTATTGGGGATTGCAAAATTATGATATATGATGATGGCATTGATAATGAGGATGACAAGATCAGGCCAAATGTATCTGGGTGGTGTTGCCAACTCTTAGTTGGATTGCAGCAAAACTGTGCGGCACGTTGAATTGCAGTAAAATATTCACACCGCTTCGCAGTCGAAGCCGCCCGCACAGAATAAAGGGAAAACAGACACACACACACAAACAAACAGAGACATCCATCCATGCATACAGACATACATACATATGCATACATACATCCAGACACACATGGGAAAAGTGTGTCATTAGCACCCTATACCGGCTCGGCAGCAACCTGCGCCCGCGGAGCCGGGAAGTAGCAACTTGTGCTCTCGGAGCCGGGAGGAAATGTTAACCGGGCTCAAGTGCGAAGAAACGCTTTGCTATGGCCCTATCGAATCACCAGCCTTTTCACCGAGGGTTTTATCTCCGTGCGTCTGTCTCGGTCTCGTCGGTCTGTCTGTCTTTGTGTCTGACTCGGTCTGTCTGTCTCGGTCTGTCTGTTTCGGTCAGTCTGTCTCGCTCGGTCTGTCTCGGTCTATCTGTCTCGGTCCGTCTGTCTTTGTGTGTCTGTCTCGGTCGGCCCATCTCGGTCTGTCAGTCTGTGTCTCGCTCGGGCAGGACACACGGACGAACACACCCACGATGTCAATAGTGCAGTGTCCCCCGTGTTGCGCATACGACGGCGGTGTCGACAACGCCAGCTCCCCCGGCCGGCATAACCAGCATCGCCAACATGTAGTCCAAAACCATATCAGTTTTTCTCCATCGTAAAATCACTATAAAACATGGCATTTCGTAACTCCGATGAGGGCACCCCTTCCAAGCTCAAGCTAAAGATTTAATCTTGCAGATTTCTTGCGATTCTTGCCATTGCCCAGAGCCTCCACAACGCCCTCGGCACCTTCGGTGGGGCCTCTCACTTTGGTTTGGCGGCCTCCAACCTGAGTGCGATGGCCTGTAACCTAATACTCTAACCTGCAACCTGACCTGTTGTCTTGGGTCTTAGGCACTTGGTTACTTAGGTTGGGCACATACGTACACATTTTATCAAGTGTGTCTGTGTGTGTGCTTGTGTTTGGCCATTTTTTGGTTCAGTTGCTTTTCCTTGTTTTTTATCTTTTCCTTTTCCGTTTCCTCTTCATTTTCCTTTTCCTGAATTATAGCAGCCCCTCATGCCACAGAGAAGAGAAACAAATATGTGGGATTGAAATTTCCAAAGAATAACACATGCCTCACTTCCCCATGCAAAGAATAATGCATGTTTTCACTTCCCCAAGTAGTTCTGATTCATGTGTGCCACAACATCTCCCAAAGAACGTGTGCCAACATGTGGCGACAAAGATACATCTGGGCCACAGCTTTCATGTTCTGACCAAAGTATTCAAAAACAGTTACAAATACATTTAGCGCAAACTCATGTGCCACATATGTTCTACAAATACTTTCACAAATCCACCTCAAGGTGTCAATGTGAAAAAACAAGTGTCTTGACAGCCCATGTGGTAAACCATTCTGATGCTATTTTCTAGAACAACAGCAGAAACTATTCTTCATAATAACCTCAGTGAGGTTACCTCAGTGAGGTTAGAATTAACCTCAGGAAACAAAATAACCTCAGAGGTTATTTTAAACCTCAGCTGATCTATGGGGCAAGGTTGGAGGTCACCTGAACGGGATACGGGGTGATGTACTCACACTCTGACTCACTAACATGGAAGTGGAAAATGGTCACTTGAGTTGCGCTTTTTCTAATGTAAGGTGTTATCATTTTACTGGCGCCTACGCCAGACCTACTTTCTGCCTACGCCATCACAGTGTTGGCCTACGCGCAGGTCAAAGTTGGGATAGGTTGCCTACGCGGCCTACGCGCGTGGAGTTGTTGTTTATCACTGCGTGCTTTTTTGCCTACGCGGCTACGGTTTTGGAAGTTTTTCGTTGTTGCTCATACGCAGCCACAAAGCAGGCACACCGCCTCTAATACGCAGCTACGCAGATGATTCAGATGTACTTGAAGAGGACGAAGAAGACACTTGAGTTCCAAGTCGTTGGCCTTGTCGTCTTTTCTCAGCAGCAGCTGATTGCAGACGGAGAGCAGCAGCAGCAGACAGCGTTCTTTCCAGCTCAGACCCAAGCAACCTTGCCACTGGTGGAGGAACATCTTTTTTGGGATTGATGTCGGCGAATAAAAAGGTTAACCTCTCCTGTCTTTGGGCCAGTTCCTTCCCAAGATTTCTCAGCATTCCAGAAGCCTCTCGCCACTCTTTCGAAGTACCACTTTCCAAACCATCTTCGTCTTCATTGGCATCCTGCCCTTAGGGCAGTACATCCCAACCACGGAGTTGCGTTCACACACTGTCGCTGAAGACTTTGTTCTGGACCAGTAGGCCTTTGGGAGAAGAAGGCGAAGGTGCAGATTGCAGGCAATAGGTCCGTGTGATGAGGAAGCCAGGGCAATAGAACACGGTGCGACTATCTGCGCGGTATTGTCCAGGATTGAATTCTTCAATGTGAAATTTAGGACCTTGACGGTCTGTGTTTACCATATACTGCGCCCCTGCACGGTAGCAACGCACCAGATCCTTGATGCCATGTATGGGCTGTTTTTGAAGGACATCTTCTATCCATGCACAGCCCCAACCGAAGATGCGGTCGACAGGGCCTTTACCATGTTGCTCCCCTTGGAAATGTACAGTGACCTAGGGCATCTAACGTTGAAGAGAGAAAGGACACTGGCCCATATTAAGTGGTTTCCTGCTACGCTAAAACCTCCGCATCATCCAACCCCCAGATTTTTGGGTATAATGATGCAATTTTCGCTGACATCTTAACTATATGTGCTCAGTTTGGATCCATCCCAGTTATTTTAGCTGGGGACTTCCAATCCCCTCCTTTGCATTATCCCAGCATCTCGAATGCAGTGAACCTCCACAATTGGTTTGATCCCCTGACTACTTTAGATGACTCAGGTGAGTCCTTGCGGCCATTGACCTACTCTAAAGATAGTACTTTTTCAGGTCACGGTGACTTTTGCTCTTCAATTGACGGTATTCTTGTCAACCAAGTTGCTTCCTGTGCATTGCAGTCGATTGAGGTTGTTCAAACATCCGATTCGCAACACCGCCCTGTTCGTGCAACTTTTTCTTGGCCTACTATCTGGCAGCATGGGTATGTCCATCAGAAGTTTGCTCCGCTTGTTACCGACTCTCTTGATAAGCCCGGTCTTGATCCGACTCATCCCTCTAATGAGGTTGCTGATTTTTTGTGGGAGTCCCGTTTTGCTAGGCTTTATGCCCAACATCCTCACATCGACCAGAAGTGGAACACTTTAAATGACTTTTGTTGCCAGACTCTTTTGTCTTCTGGTGCACACTGGGGCCATGGTCCACGAAAACGAGGGGCACTCCCCCCTTTTTCAATACAAACAGTTTTGTCCAGGTCAAGCGAAATCCGGCTCTGCGCTTTCGCTCAAAGCTTCGTGGTTACAGAATGCTCTTTCTCGTCTTGATGAGCTTTTCGTCCGCCTGCAGAGACCAGCCTCAAGTCTTGCGGATTTGCACATTTTGCAACGTACATCCAAGAAAGCTTGTAGGTCACTCCAAAGCCTTAAGTGCCCTCATGTTTGGCTCATCCCGACTGAACCTTCCCTCCTCGAGGTCGCCCGTTGTCGGCAGTGGGTTCAGGTGCAATTGCAGAATTGGGATTTTAGTAAGAAACAGCAGAGAATCAATGCCTGGCGTTCTCAGATCAAGCATTCTGCTAATTCAACAAAGAAGTACATTTACCACCATCTCAAAACTAAGTCTATTGATGAACCTGTCAATTTAGTCACAGATTCCTCCGGTAATATCCTCTATCAACCGTCGGAGGCATTGCACCATGTTAATCTCCAGTGGGATTCCATCTTCGCCTCAAATGTACTGCATGAAGATCCCCTCAGGGCTTTAAACTTTGTGTGGCCTTATCTTCAACACACTGCCACTCCTGTAGTTTTGCCTGAGCTTACAGCCGCTGATCTCGCCATGACGATTGGATCTCGCAATCCACTCGCATCACCGGGCATGGACGGGTGGCGTACAACTGAACTCCAGTTGCTACCCAAGAAGTGCCTTGAACGAATTGCGGTGTTTTTCAACCAACTGGAAGATGATTGTGGTGGCTCAATCCCCGATGTTTTGCTTCGTGCCAAACAAGCCCTACTCAATAAGCCTGGACTAGCCTCACCCTTAAATAAAAGACTCATAACGGTCCTTTCGCCACTCTTGCTTGCATACTCAGGGACTCGGTTTCGCCAGCTCCAGCAGTGGCAGCAAACCACGCTCCATCCATCGCTGTTCGGTGGGATCAAAGGGCGTTCAATGGCTGCAGTGAGCGATGGGCTTCGCTTGGACATCGACTCGGCCAAAGTCGACAACCAGCATCTCATTGGCATAAAGTTAGACCAGTCCAAATGCTTTGATCGTATTGTCCCGCCGATCACTGCTGCTCTCATGTTAGCTCTGGGCCTCCCTAAGGGTGTGGTTAATATGTTTTCCATGATGTATCGTGGCTTGAAGAAGCACCTCTCCTATCGTAACTGGA